GGCATCTTCCTGGCTCGGTCAATATTCCCTTGCGGAGTCTCGATTCACACACGGCAAAGCCATTCTCCGATCCTGGTGTACTAGAGGCACAGTGGTTGGAATTAGAAGCAATGTTCAAGGATCCGAGCGTGATCACCAAATTGGAATCCCATCATGTGTTAGTGATCTGCTACAATGGAGATACAGCCCGGGTGGCCACTAGCGTGCTGCGAGCCAAGGGCATCGAGGCTGACAGCCTACGGGGAGGATACCAAGCTCTGAAAGACCACGGGTTATGGGGTAGCAGTGGAGTTGAGTCGGTGGAGAAGAGCACATATCCAACAACAACCACGACGGAACTGTCCGTATCAACAAATTAACCGTATTTATTTATATGACGCTAATCTGAACTGGGCATAGATTATATAAATCCATTATGGGCGGACAAAAGAGAATGTCTTTTCTTTTTTTTCTATTTTTTATTGTTTTCCTCCCATTTTCTATTTCCCTTACATGTTACGAAGTTTTCAATTACATGATGATCAACGATGTCTGTATAAACTGACTACGTGGCAACGATGTCTTTCACTCTAGAGTAACTAGTTCAATCTAAGATCTAAAATCAACCATCATGTGCGGTTAGGGTTGGGTAAAAAACTGTCAACGAAAAGATTAGATCGTTGAATCTAACGCAAATGTGCTCACTCGTATAATTGAACGCGTATCTGTGCGTGAGATTTTAATTGAGTTGATCGGCACTTGAATATTTGCAAGGACTTACTACGTTCGCGCAACGGCGACGCTAAATCCAGAAATCTGCTCAATTGCGAGCATCCCCAGCCTCTTCCGTCCAATCAGCAGCTGAGGAATGCTGCAACCCTAACACGGCAGTGGCAGTTGCGATGATGATTGTAATCGAGGCCACACGTATGATCAATGCATGCATCCGTGACCCATTCCCAGTCTAGGGTTGATGGTGCAACCATGCTGGTGCTAAAGTGAGTTTACGAGTGGAGGAATCTACTACCTGACACAATCTCCGATACAACACACCCTGAAGATTCTTATCCAAATCTTTTGCTTCGCTCTAGTGCCCATCTTTTCCTTGCTGGGAGCCCTTTCAGAATACAAGAGACCCTGTTAAGAGAGTCATCCCTCGTTGGTAGAGGCATCTGCATATAGTCATTAGTGCAAATCTGGTCTCTTAGACTGTTATGCGCTTCGTGACGTACAACATTCACGATGATGTCCATGGATGAAAAGTCCAGCGGCGGCCTGCCATGGCTAGATATGCCGGTCATGTTCCATTCGTCTAGGGCCGATACATGCAAGATGACACCTGAACAATGTGCCTATCGGTCAGGGCACTGGAGATACTGGTAATTTCCTTTTTTATACCAACATTATATAAATTCCCGGCTAATGAGGGACTCCTCACAGGTATGAAGCAGACCACGTTTATTCGTTAAACACAGTGTATTTCCTTTGTGCGACTATCGGGTTCTTTACAATCGTCCATTTTCTCTCGAAGTATGCACCGGTACGAGCAAAACGAAGCGGCATATGGCGGAAAACGACAGCCATTGGACGATACCTCGCATACAAAGGTTACCAACTACCTGCATTTCGGTACTCTTCCCCTTCGTTGGGCGTTATTCTCTTGGGTATCATAGGCACAATCTTTTTCTTTGGTTCGTACGCCTAGTTCGCTCCATGGTTTTCAAATTGCTGATGCAGATATAGCCATGACGCTTGGTCCAAAACCTTACTACTGGCCTAACACGAAAGATGGGTCAGTCTCTTATGGAAACAGTCCGCCTATCGCAACTCGGACTGGATGGATGGCATTGGCATTGCTGCCTTTTGTGCTGTGTGTACCGTAGCCCATGTCCAATATCCGTTGCTAACCAGTGCAGGGCTCTGGGCGCCAAAGCCAACCTCATATCAGCATTGACTGGAGTACCTCATGAAAAGCTTCAGGTATGTGGGAAAATCGCTAGAGTTATTAGTATAACTGACTCGGTAGGTCTACCACCATTGGACCAGCTATGCCATGTTTGTCCTCGCTTTGATACATACCTTCCCATTCATCGTCTTCAATATCTGGAAAGGTCAGATGGTCGAGAAATGGAACACCAGCGTGGTCTACTGGACAGGAGTCGCGGCCTTAATTCCGCAGGCTTACCTCACATTCATGTCCTTGCCATCTGTTCGGTAAGATCACTCCTATCAAGCCGCAGACACTACTAACACTAGGTATAGAAATCGATATTATGAATTTTTCAAGGCAACACACTTCCTGGTTGCACTACTCTTCCTTCTGTTTTTCTTCTTTCACTGTGACTTCCGTCTTTCTTCTTGGTATGTTCTTCTATCCCTCGAAATATACAGTCTACTAACTACAATAGGGACTACTTTGTTGCCGGAGGCGCAATTTATCTCTTCAGTCTCTTTGCAGCATGGACCCGCACCCATCTCATCAACGGTCGTCATTCAGCTACAATTGACCTCCTCCCTTGCGGTTTTGTTCGAGTCAGAATCCCGACAATCATGTCTTGGCGACCAGGTCAGCATGTCTTCATTCGATTCTTAAGCCCACAGCTAGGCTTGCACTGCCTAACAGCGCACCCATTTACCGTCTGCTCTCTATCGCATGACCCGGACAAGGTCGGCAAGGCATCCGAGATAGTGTTCTATGTCAAGCCCCGCCACGGCATCACGGCACGTCTGGCAAAGTTAGCTACTAAAAGCCCTGTATTCTCCCAGACCGTGCTGTTAGAAGGTCCTTACGGTGGGATATCTGATACTGCTACTCCCACCGAGTTCGATACTGTCCTTGTCATCGCGGGTGGCTCCGGCGGTGGGTTTTCTCTAGCTATCGTCGAAGAAGCTCTTAGAGTGTACGGAAATATACCAGATCTCCAACAACGCAATATCCAGGTCGTTTTCGCTACACGGAACAAAGAAGTAGCCGAATGGTACAGGGAGGAGATTGATGATAGGACCTCCATGTATGACGTACCAGCCAAAAGAGTATCCATTTCCATTCATGACACCTCATTGGAGCATACTGAAAAGCCAGTGTCCGCACCCGGGACCAAAGAACCATCTAACGAGGTCACCGATGAGATTGAGCCTGCCTTGTCAGAGAAAGGCAGTGGTGCTGCAGCAATAGACCAGCACATGAGTACAATTGTACATGGCCCTCGACCTAACCTTCCTCACATTATCGATACAGCTACGTCAACACCAGGTAGCCACAGGATAGCTATCTTTGCATGCGGTCCTGCTTCCATGCTTCATGACGTTCGGAATGCGGCTGCTGAGGCGCAAAAGCGGGCGTTGAGAGGAGGTGCTGAGGTCTATTTGCATACTGAATCATTTTCGTGAGTGTTCATTTCCTGTGTCTCGGGACATTGGCTAACTAGTATGTCTAGGTGGTGATGTTTTGTAAAATTGTCCGAATAATTGAGTCAATAAACGTTCACTGTCTACTTGATGATTGTTGATCAATATGTATGCTCAGACACATAACGTTACTTAACTTAATTATCGACTTGCATTATATAGGAATCATTTTCTTAGCTTGAAATCTTTGACCGGGGTTGCAAAAAAAAAAGCAACGCTTACGTCGCAAGGAGAACCCTGTAGGACGATAAACAGTAGTTTAGATCCTTTACTGTCTACTCACCGTTTGAGTGGTTGATTAAATAGGTCTTCTATCGATATCTACATTTCTCATGTCGGTTTCCTGGTTCTTAGAATGACGGATAAAGCTCTGCTGCTCTCCCCGTCTTACTGCGTAGGAATTGCAAGTGATTGACAGGCACAATATCTCAACCAGCAATGACCGACTGCCCTCATAGAATCTCCATCCCCCGGTTACAAGGCCCGAACCGACTGTCAAACAGACTGCATTTGCAGGCTCGATTGCGTCGGTCGGGTCGCCACCGGAGGTGGCTTAGTTAGGGAATACTAATGAAGCTGCCGCTTAGGGATGCTATATATGTGGGGTCTATTGGGAGATGCTGCAGAGTTTTTGGCATATATTGGCCTTTTTTTTGGGGCGGGGGGGGTGGAGTTGGGAAGACAGCATTTTGAGGATGGAATGGAATGGTTTGATGGATATTGATTTAATTGGGTTTGGTTGGTGTTCCATGGAGTGTTACGGATCTCCTTGGGTAGTATGAAAGCTGGGGTTTGTGTGGATAAATGGACAGGTTCATCCGTACTAACTTCGATGGCTAGTGGATGTAGATACTCTAGATACAAGCGATATAGATGAATAACTGATATTCGGCAAAGCTTCAAGAGTTAAAAAAAGTCACTTAAGGAATCAGAGAGTTTTTCCTTATGGTTTATTTTATATGTATCAGCAAGAATAGACTTCGTCCTTACAGTGTACAAGATATATATACTCATCAACATCCGAGTAACAGTCAATCACTTTCATAAATTTTATATGATTACGTACAAAGCCTACGTGCAGTCTCAGTTATAAGTTTGAAAGAGTTTATCGTATATAAAATAGGGTTGGAGGACTGTAGAGCAGGTGGTTGGTATCGCAGTTGATGTTACTTTAGGACTAGGATAGAATGCAAGCAGAACAAGAGTCGTGCAATATTCGACTCGAAAAACTAGTATGACATATTGAATAGAGTCGGTAACATTTAACACATCACTTCATGTCTGTTCCGTTAAGGATGAACCCTGATGATCACAGAGTTACATTACGCAAGTGTACGATCCTTGTTGTGAAGTAAAAGGGCTCTTCGGAAACATGGTTGCTGCGTTACTATGCGGGGTTGGTGTGGCATGATAGATTTCTTTCAATGAATGTACGAGGGTCGAAGGAATCTACGAGATTTACTGGACAGGAAGATTACCAAACAGAAATCAAAACGTTTAGGGTATCAAGCTATAGAGTGCATCAAGCTTTTCATTTTTGTACTAAATTCAGACCATCATGCCGTCAAAGTCCATGTCCCAGTACGAACACCAATCGCCCAGAGTAAGCGAATCTAGTTCATCTGGCGGATGAGGGCGTTGATGTTCTCCTCACGGTTACCGTAGTCACCACCCTCGATGAAGTGCTTGAACTTGCGCTTGTGGAAGCCACCAGTGGGGTTGGAGAGCTTGAAGGGCCAGAGGAAGTTGTTGGCCTGCTTGAAGTTGGGGCCAACGGTGTAGATCTCGTGAATGAGATCCTCAACACAGACAATGCCGTACTTGCCGAGGTTCTCCTCGATGATCTGGTTGTCGGAGATAGCAACACGCTGCTTGTTGACCTTTCCGTAACCGCGCTTGTAGATGAGCTCACGGATGCTCTTGAGGTTGGGGTAACCGTAGGCAATGTAGGGGTTGATGATGGTCAGCATCTCCTGGGTAGCCTTGGTAAGGCGGACGAAGGTTCCGTTGTTGATCTGGAGCAAACGGAGGAGCTGCAGGATCTTGCGGGGCTGGGGAGAAATCTTGTTGATACTATTGGTACAGTTAGTCGCTTGATTTTCAACCATGGACATGTCAGAAGAACCCACCCCTTGATACGGATAACGAAGACAAGCTTGGGCTCCTCAGCAACGTAGAAGTTACCCTCCTTGCGAGCAACGCGGGCAAGGCGGATCTTCTCACGCTCAGCATCGCGGTACTCCTTGACGTAGGACTCGGCGCGCTTGAAGATGGCGGCACGCTTCTCCTTGCTGGCCTATACATCCTCTGTTAGCGAGAATTCTACCCAGTCGTTTATTACAAAAACAGCGGTAGTGTTAACGTCAGCCCCGAAAGATGGTTAACAGAAGCGACAGCATCGACCGATGGTCTAGTCGCGTAGTGGTTGCTATCATCACCCGTCTATGTGAAAAAGGAAAGAAAAAAAAAAGGTGAATACTCACGGCCTTCTTCTTGGCAGCCTCCTCACGGGCGACAGCGCGAGCCTGCTCCTGGCTCTTGCGCTTCTTCAGGAGAGTCTCGGGGACGAGGACATTGTCCTGAGTGGGGACGGTGCTGTTAAGGTCAGTTAAGTCTGTCCATGCAAAATATGCATATATTCGCCGAGTGTAAGAACTGCAGCTATAGCGCGGCATTCTCAACTGAAGGCAAGAAATAAAGAAGCACTCGACGACATGTATTTAATCGGTGAGAGATGAAGGGCTTGCCACCCGGTAATGGGACGTTGCTACTAGACATGCATTTTCAGCATGGATTCACAACTCCGCGATGACAGCAACAATCATTCAATTCTCATCCGACAAAGCCCCAAGCATAACGCCCAGGAAAACAATGTTGACGCCGTTTGTCCCATCTCTGTTAAGCCATTCCAGGTCTAGTCAGAGTATGGAAACGCAGCTCGCAACAATTTCTTTCAAGGAGAAAGCAGCTATGGCCTTCAACCTCAATACCCCAAACCGTTGTACAACCCATCCATCATCTCGTGCTCATATCACTGAGGCGCAAGTTCATGGGGGGAGACAGAGGTCACGGGAAAAATCGAGCTGGTGCCCAGCGACCGTTTCTGATCGCAGCATCTCCAGCGAGAAGGACGACTATAACTTCAACCCTTACAGGCTCATAAAGCGAAGCAGCCGAAAGGGTATCCGCTAAAGGGTATCATACGTAGCAGTAGAGGCCATTGCGACGGTCCGTTGAGTTCGCGAGTTGGGCGGTTGGCGAAAGCTGTCGTACTGGAAGAAGTTCAAAAAGAAAATTGCTTCGAGTTGAAGAAAAACGAGTTTGTGGGTGGGTCTCCGCGCTAGCTCACATGCGGCTAGCCTCTGTTAGCACGACGACCTTCCCGTTCTGGGTGATCTTCTTAGGGCACATACGAGTCAGCTGACAGCTCCCGATAAGGAGCTGCGATAACTGTTGACATGCCCATCTTGATGTTCTCCATACCCCACGTCCCTCCTCTTTGCCTATCCTAGACTATAAACTACGATGGCGTCGCGTCGAGGTGTCGGGTTAGGTGCCTTCGCAAATCGCTCGCAGGCTAGCCAATCCTACGCCAACCATGGCGCCAATCTACGTTCCACGCATCTCTCCTCCCTGCAGGCACAATTATCCGTCTTCCAGTCATTACTCCACACATTCGCGTTAGAGCATAGCTCGACGATAAAATCAAATCCAACGTTCCGTGCAGAGTTTGCTCGCATGTGCAATGCGATCGGTGTTGACCCACTTGCAGCGAGTAATGTTAAAGGCAAAAATGGTCGGAAGGGAATGGGTGAAGGGGCGAGTTTCTGGACCCAGATCATGGGCGGGGATATGAACGACTTCTACTTCGAGCTTGCCGTCCGTATAGTAGAGCTTTGCCGAGAAACAAGAAGTGAGAATGGAGGCTTAATAGGCGTCGAGGAGTGCCGTAAACGAGTAGGTAAAGGCAAGGCTATAGGGAGCGGGTTGGAAGTAACTGAGTATGTGGCCTCGAACCACGCAGTACAGAAGGTATACTAATTGCTATGTTTGCGAATTAGTGACGATGTTCTACGTGCCGTCAAGGCTTTGGAACCTTTGGGCTCGGGCTTTTCGATTGTCCGCGTTGGTAGCAAACAATACATCCGATCGGTCCCTAAGGAGCTTAATACAGACCAAGCCACTGTGCTCGAGGTTATTCAAATCCTTGGCTACGTGAGTATATCCATGTTGCAGATAAACTTAAATTGGGAAAAGGCCCGGGCGCAGACTGTTATTGATGACCTTCTGGCGGACGGCCTGGTGTGGCTTGATGCCCAAGGTGAAGAGAATGAGTATTGGTCACCACAGAATCTACTCGACGATAGTGGGTGAGGCTGTTCTCTCAGTTAGAAGAGATGTGAGCGAGCTATTTCATGGGTGTTATATCGATCGAGTAGATTGGCATCCAAGGTTTCGTTCGACCAATTCGAACCCTTACTTGTATAGATATTGAAGCATATACAGCTGTCATCATGGTGTATCTGAGGCTACAGAAGCTTAAAGATTAACAGACAGCCGAGTTGCCCGATGGGTTGGCGAAATATTAGGTATTGGCTCTACCCATCCTAGACTACGCCCTAGTAGAATATATATATTCAAGACTGCAGGCAACTCCCCCACAGAATCCAAGGACTGACAATTCAGAATATGCATGAAAGTTATCTTTATTACATCATATTCGTATTTCTACCAAAACATACAGGGAATAAAGTTTCTTGGTTCGAATTTGCCTGTGGTTACGTCCGTTTCCTCATTGCTTAGAGCACTTATCTCTCGACTGCGCTCGTCCAACTCTAAAAAGGGATTTATTTGTAAAAGAGGAAATGCCACATGTATCAAGAAAGGGATAATCAAGAAATTGACAAGAAATTCGTCAATAATAAGAGCACATGGGATCATACGTAGTTAAATTCCAGGAGCATTAGAACCATGAAAACAAAGGAATGCCATTACAAACAATTTTATGCCTTGATCGCTCCGCCCAATGCACCACCGCTGAATTGCTGTCCACCGGGCCGACGACCTTGTTGGCCGCCAGGCAGTCTGGGTCCACCACGGGCTTGGCCTCCACGTCCAGGACCACGGCCTCCACGGGCGCCGGCGCCCTGATCGCGCTGGAAAGCGTTGGCCATGCCTTGAGTGCGCTGCTCGAGAGTCTTCTCGTTGGCCTCCAGAAGGTTCATCGACTTGTCGGCGAGGGTGACGATCTGGGACTGGAGACGCGACAGCTCGACACCCTTGCGGAAAACAATGGCATCGTTGACCTGGTCAAGAGCAGCGGCGAGCTCCTCATGAGAGATCATACGGCTGATGATGGCCGCAATCTTCTTCTCAGACAACTCGAACATGCTTGACAGGGTGGAAATAGAGACACTGTCGTAGAAGGGAGCATATGTGAAAAGGTAAGTTCGCAGGCCCTCTTCTTGGATCTGCTGAGACAGCATCTCCTTGATCTTGTCGGGCTGGGGCATCAGATCCCAGATCTTGATAGAGTTGAGCATCTCTGCAGCCTTCTTCCAGTCACCCGCAGCAAGGAACTTAGCGCTCATGATGACACCATCACGAGTGTTCTCTGCAGGGCCAGTGAATACCTGACGTTCGTTGTAATCCAACATACGACGGAAGGTCTTTGAGATGATACGGCGCTTCATCTCGGGTGAAGAAGAGGTCTGAGCCATGAGAGGGACTTCCAAGAACATGCTTGAGGTAAGGTAGATACACTCAAGAAGTTCAAGGTTGATGTGCATGTGGAAGGGCAGCTGGCGCTGACGCTCAAGACGCTCCTGCTCAGGAGAAACAGTAGAGTAACGCTGGAGGATGATACCTTGAGCGAGAAGTTCCTTCTGACGGCCACTGCCACACACTTCGGACAGGGTATTTTGAGCTTCGTAGATAAGGCCAGCACGGAATGCGCACAGACCAATTTGAACCAGGGTCCGGTTGAAAAGAATCTGGGTGTTGACATCGAAGTTGGAGATGTTCTCGGTAAGATGAGACATGAGCATCAGGTCACGAGAACGGTAGTACTGGTCGTGCAAGGCAAGGAAATAGATCTGGCACAGCATGGCACGGGCCCTGATGATACCGTCACTGTACGTGAAGAGATAGTTGCACAGGGTCTGGACCAGTCCTGTTACATCACCCGCGTTTCCACGAGGAGTGACCTTGGAATCCAACTCGGAGGGAAGTGCCTTCCAAGTACCCTCTTCCAGGATGGTAACGACCTGAGAAGGCTTGAAGTAAATGTGCTCCAGCCTGCGCATGACAACCCGGTTGAGGCTGTCCTGACGCGGATCGCTCTTCTCAGCTTGGATAAGACCTTCAACGTAGGCTTGAACGCGGACAAGGTTGGTATACAGCTGCTTCTCATCGCTCAGACGATCGATGTATTCAGCAGTGTGGGGATCAATGTGTTGCAAGGACCGAGTCAGCTCGTCGTCGAGCCTCTCAACGTGAGACACGATGCTGCCTGGGACGTGCAGGGTCTCGCCTGGCTTAACCTGGGGTTGCTTCTCATCATCTTCCCACTCCTCAGCTCCCTCAGTGACAACATGGTCGCGGTTGGTCTCGAGGACAGAGAGCAGAGCGCCAAGCTCCTTCTCAGCAAGCTTCCATTGGTCGACACTCATGTAGTTGGCGGAAGACGTAGAGGTAATGTCGAAGCGGGTAGAGAGAAGAGTGAGGTAGACACGAATGCGCTGGTAGGGAGTCTGAGCAACCTCCAGGAGCTTCTCCATGGTCTTGATCTGCTCGAGGCGGTCTGTGTTCTTCTTTCCTCTGGACTCGACAATGACGCGGAGGTGCTTAAGGATGCTCTCTGGGGTGTACTGCAGGGTCTTGCCACCACGGCCAACAGTAGCGAAACCATCATCAGTAGAGGTTGCTGCTGCAGGTGCCTCAACAACACGCTCAACCTTGGTCAAGCGCGGGGCAACGACAACGGGCTTAGCCTCCTCTTCCTTGCCCTCCATGTAGCCATCCTTATCATTGCGATACTTCTCGATATGAGTGGCGTACTCCTTGTTGTTCTTCTTGATACGTTGCTTGACTGCGTTGAAACCCCTGGAGTTGCTTGCGTTCATCGCCTTCTTCGATGCCTTCTGCTTCGTGATAGTCTCGTTCACGAAATCCTCGAGATCGGCAACGGCTTTGACATAAATCCTGGGAACTGGACCCGATTGCGTGACCTTCACGACCTGGCGGTTAAGCTTATCGAACTCTGGAACCTTCGAGTCAGTATGCATGCACCTATGTTATCCCTACACGGCCATATTTTTCGGCCTATATCCAACGCACCTGACGAGATAACTGCCCAGTCATTAATCTTCTCGGCATTCTCGATCAACTTGATGATCCCCTCAAGTTCCTCCAGCCTCTTATCCTTGGCACTCTTCACAACCGTTACTTTCTCCTCATCCTCGCTCTCCTCGCTCTCCGATGCGTCCCTCAAGAAACGATTGGCACCGGTTTCACCACCCTCATCATCGGAGGATTCCTCCTCCGAAGTCTCCTCCTCCTCCTCGCTGGATTCCTCCTCGGACTTCTCCTCCTCCTCGCGATCGGAGAGAAGCTCCTCCTCATCCGAGCTGGAATCGCTGTCGCTACCGCTACCGTAGAAGAAACGCGACATATTGGCGGATTTTCAGGTAATTCGGACCGGAAAGCGTCGCGGGGTTCAAAAAATGGCCGTCTCGTTAAGTGGTGAGACGCACGGTCGTGGGATGGTTCGAAGCACGATTCCCTTAAAGCCCGTCGGTTCGCTCTCAGAAAATCAAGTTGTGAGGGTTGGAGCCGCAGAGTCAGACCGCGAGCCACAACGAAATTTAAGCGAGGTGGCGCCTAACCGTATCGGGTAATCATCCATCGTACTACGGATCGCGCCTCCGCGACTAAACGTCCGAACAATGCGGAGAGGATTTATTCATATCTAACAAATGGGCTTATATAATAGATCTACATAATCAGATACCCTCTGCTTCAACCTAAATCCCACTAAGGGAGTAGGAGAGAGGAGCAGAGACTTTTTTTTCGCGCAGAAGCCGACGGTGGTTCGATACTGATGAAATGCAAATATCCAAGGTTAATGATGCTTCTCTTAAACGGGTTCGAATAAAAGGTAGAAAAAGGGGAGCAGATTTATAATGGGAAATGGTGTACCATTTCCGGACACAGAAAGAAG